AATTTCCGTTATTTGTTTGTTCGTATTCATGTTTGTCTTAAGCTGTCTATGATTTAACCTATACCTAGCCAACCAACAATCTAAGTTTATGTACTTATTCGCATACATATATATGTATAAGTACACACGCATATACACATATATACACGCACACACATATTGTATCTAACTCTGATTGTGTCTGGTGTTCTTCAATTTCTATTTTCTTAATGTCTTAAGGCTTTTTTATTTGTTTATTTTATTTTTTTTTTTATTTTTTTTTTCCTTTTTAATCTTTTCTGATTTTTTTATTTTTTATTATATTTTTTTTTTTTTTTGTCATTTTATTGAAGAGTAAAATGTACATTTTGCCAAAATCATTTTGTATTTACAATCTTTCTCTGACAAAAAAACAACATTGTTTGTTGTAAACTATGTAAAAGTGTTCGCGTGTTTATGTGTATATATATAGGAACTTTAGTTGCAGTTAGTTCGAAGTTTTTGTGCCAAAATGCATTCAACAAATATTTATTGTTGCCTCTCGTATGTACAGGAAGAGTGATATATATATATATATATATATTTTTTTTTTTTTTGAAGTTAACATAAAAAATTTTTCTTCGGTTTTCTAAGTTTATTATTGACTCACGTACGTATTACACATGTGTGTACCCGCACACAAGCACGCGAGTACATATTCCATTTAAATTCATTGTGCTTTTATTGTAATTATTTGTTCATAAAATACGAGACATGAATCGCATCCGACATACAGCGTGCGGTTATATCTCAACGAAACTTGCATTTAATTTAGTTCAACATAGCTCTTCTTAACTCATTGTATTAAAACAAATGCGTACAGAAAATCAATGAATCTAAATACAACTAAAACTTGAAATTGTCTCGCATATCTGCACCAAAGCGACTTTTTATCATCATTTGCAATAAAAATCTGAATAAAAATTTTAAATTCTTCCTTTATTTATTTTGGAAGTACAAATTAGTTCAGTCAGAGTTTTAAGAGAGAGAGAGAGAGAGAAAGAGAGAGAGAGAGAGAGAGTTGGAATGCGAAAAATGACAATGTAACCTCATCATTTGAAAATACTGCCCTTAGGCTACACGCAACTGCATAAGTTATCGATCGCATTAAAACATATACGACGACGTTTCGTGCAAGTTTAAGTAAGAGTAGTTCTTCTTCACTTTTCCTTTTTAATTTACAGCTTCTAGTGCTATCTAGTTGAATCGTTACGAGCGATGAAAAATGGATGCGTTCCGATATCCAAAGCACAAACAATCACAATGCAGAGCCAATGCGTACCAAGAACAACAACGATAGGGCTGAGTATTCATTGGTAGTCCAATTTGAGCACAGTCGCCAGAGTGTGCGGTATTATGGAGCCCATCAGCAGGAATCGCTACCGAAAAAAAAAAACTAATACAAGAGCGACAAAAAAAATGCACATGATATAGCAAAAGTCACGATATCGTGAGTTTTCAATATGAAGGCATTTGTCATCGTATATGCAAACTCGTTCAGGAAATGTTCGCATATCTAACCTGGACTGTGTTACTCTCGCCGCTATTATCAAATACCAGTTCCGGTTAACACGACCTCCAACAGATGATGACTGTCAATTCGAAGGATGCTGCGATGCTTATGGCGATACACAAATATGAGGCACCCTGGAGACAGCCTCGAAAGACGAGACATATTTTTTGGAAATGGAATTCGAAATTTGGCTACGAGTTGCAAAAAAAAGTAGTAACCAGCGATGGATAATAATACCTTGATTAAGCTAGCTGTTCAATCATTTTGTTCTGAAATTAATGCATTTTGCAAACACCGGCAAAACAATGGATTGAAATAATTTACACTCCCAATATTTATTCACTTACTTATGTATAGCTATATAGCTATACAATATGTACGAGATACCACTGAAAAAAGCATTGCAACATTGTAATCTAACAAGCATTCTATACCACCTCATCTCGATATATATTTGAAAAAATTAGGCCTTGTGACCATATAAAGACTTGCTTTCCATGAGAGGCTTTATTGTGGCAATGGCCGAATATATACAAGCTTATGTTATATAATTCAAACTTACTGTAATAAATTTATATAACAAATTAGTAAGTATGCCATCCATAAGTTGTGCCACAAGAGTATGTTGAACTTGTGCGTGTGCATGCAATGCCCAGAAGTACGTCAGATGCACCACTTATGAATTGAGAATCACTTTTTGTATCGATTTAAGCTTGTCTGTCTGTCGGTCCGTCTGTGTGTCTTGTTTCCTTGTGTTCAACCTATGGATTGCATTTTTGAGATATTTTGGTGAAATGTGGTACACTGATGTGTTTTGGCACAAGGATTAACGCTATTCAAAATAATTCGACTTGAAATAGAAGAAAATGCGACATTCTTACAGCGTCGATATATCACTGTGCAAAGAATCGGTACAATAACAAAGATATTTGAAGACATTTTCTGTGGCATTATTCAGGCGATATAGACTATAGAACTTTTTTTGCCACACTTTAAAGGATAATAATGCCTTTTTGTTCACCAAAAATTTTGGAGAATTTTTTTTATAAATTTATATTAAAAAATTATTTAAAAAAAGTTTACTAATATGCGGAAAGTGTGTAACAATAATTTTTTTCAGTCAAATAGTAAGCACAGAACAGTACTCGCTTACAGTTACTTTGCTTGCCTTTGTAGTGCTAGAAAGCTTTGACGTATGATAAAGTCGACAGGCGCTACGTGAATTTTGCTTTGACTCTAATAATCATATTATATGTAAATGCTCCTGGTATCAAAATTCATCTTTTCAGTACTCTGCATTATTTTATAATATTCACTATATTATGCAGAGGTGACACTTATGAATACGAGCCGCATGTGAATAACTTTTCTCAAGAAAAGAATTTTCAAAACGCAATTAGAATAGGCGCAGTTGAATGATATGTTAATCGGTGCACGAGTAATCTGAACTTATGTACCTTCCTCCTGGTGCCAGGCAATTCGACGATTTTGAAGCTAAAGACAAAATTGAAAACATTTACAAAAACTATTTCGAAATATTTAATAACCTCTACCGTGCTAAGTTGTTGTTCGGCACTGCGTAGCCACAAAAAATTTATTGAAGATGTCTGATAATACCGAAAGACAGAAAGCTTGCAGTTGCAAAAAACAAAAGCTTATTAGAAATTTTTTTTTCCAGATTTTTCCGCACGTCTAACTGCTACAAGGAAAAGTCATTCATTTTCATTTACGTGAATATGATATGGAAATGAGAAGCAAGCAAGAAAGCTGTATTTTTGGCTTTAAGCCAAATTAAAATACCTCGTTATAACGTCGCCCATAATTAATATTGAATTATAACATACTTACATTGTCGACTACTATTCTCCAAGTCGTTTTATTTGCATACTCATATCGATGGCATTATTGAGGAAAAATTTATCCAACACGCCCTTGTATCGATCATATCTAGTTTAGATTTAATGCAGGATAAGAAAGAAATTTAAACATTGTAATGTATTTAATACGCCAATTTCACTATACCGGAACAACCTCTTAGTCACCATATATATATATATATATATGTTTTAATTAATTTTTATGACCTAATTTTTATTGTCAACATAAACATTTAAATAATAATTTCTAATAGCATAAGCAAGCATTCATGCAAATTTTTATTACTACAAGCATTACATTTTCTTAAACCTAACCTTAATTATTAGTAACGTAAGCATTATTTGTAATTTACATTTTATTATAGTATATATATATGTATATATATATATAAGATAACATAAGATAAAATCGATAAAATAGAAATAATGAGTTGCACTCTATTGAATGAATTTTAATAATAATTGATTCAAACACAAGTGAATCTCAAAATTGTCTATTATTCACTTTGGAATTTTCATCAAGCTAATAGGTTCAGGCTACATCGCGAGATTTCGCGAGAACATGATTTGCGCCATGCACGAATGATTTCTTTTTGAGTATTAATAATGAAGTTCCGAAAATTAAAAATCTTGTTCCCTTCTATATAAAACCTTAAAAAAGTGAAACAAAGAAAATTGAATAATTTGTAACTTGATGTGGGCAGGAGTGATTTTTCGCATTTTTCCACATAAATAGCACAGTTTTCCTTAAAATAAATGTCGAAAATATGAGCCCTCTAACTTGCATAGATTGCGAATAATGAGCAAAAATATGCAAAATTCCTTCTTAAAGAAACGGAATTGCGTTCGCTTTACGCTATGCTGCGAACGCTTTGTGTGCTCCAAACGCTTTGGTCCATTTTCCATACCATCTTCAACCTGTATGTAGAAACTTCCAACGTGTCTACGAAATTTGAAGTCGATATATTCATAATTGCGACCAGGGGTATGTCAACAGCACACACCATACCGGCGAACACACATACACACGCATAGCTTAGCCGGATACAGAATTTCATGTTAATCAAAATTATGCAAACTTTATAGGGTCGTTGATGTTTCTTTTTGGATGTTGCAAACATTCTCACAAAATGAATATATCGCCCCATCTGTCGTAAAAGATTCTCGATTAAACATAACTAACTTTAAGCTCAAATTAAATCATAATTGACTTGATTTTCAAGACTTTTTTTTCCATCAATTGAGAATCTTTTTTGTTACATGCTTGTTATGCGTTCGTTATGTGTACTTCATAAGATGATAACATAAAATCTAAAGCATTTTCGATAGTAATTTGATGATTATGTTATGTTGATATAAAATTTTTTTGCAAATAATGAGTTTTTTCAACTAGAGAAACCGATACATAAACAACTAGATATAGATATGAAAATGTAAATATTGCACAGATGTGCAATACATATACATGAAAACTTATTTATATGGATGCACACAAGAATACCTATAAAAGTTAAAGTTCAATAAATGTTATAAAAGCTCAAAGAACACTGCACAAAAATAACCTCAGGGCCATAAATACGCGCAAGCAAGGATATCAGGTTTCACAAGATGATTGGGATGAAACATTTCTTGCCATCTGTATACAGTGGTTGAGCAAATCGTTGTTATGCTTAAAATAAAAACGATGATAGAAAGTTTAATCCAATAGCGAATAATGATCATAACCTGAACAAGTTCTTACCTCTTTCATTAATAGAATGCAAGTAGTATACGTCTGTATTCATAAATGTATCTAAATGTATCTCATTATTAATGATTTTTCCAATTACATGGTTTGATTTCTAATTTAATTCTCTTAGCTAGCAATTGAGGGACAATAAGAGAATGATCTAAGAGAAATTAGTCGGTTGGGTTTTGTATCACAACCAAAATAAAATCTCTGTTAGGTGCCATCATAATCTCATGTTTCTTCGAGCGTACTCGTAAAAATGTCAAATTGTTAGATGGATCTAAATCACGCACCACACTGCGTGCTTTATCGGTCAATTGACTCATAAGATCAGCATATTGAACTGTTGTGGTATTATCTAGGGTAGATTTAACTGGAATGCCTTCTTTGTTGACCACAATAGTCCCGACAACGCCTTTATGAGATTGTATGCGCTTTAAAGTTTCCTCGACTTCTTGCGACATAATGAATAGGATAAATACTTATTTTTAATTGCAATAAAAAAATAAAATTATTTTTTCTCGTTTGAAGGTTGAATGACAAACTTTACAAATTTCTTCTCAATCGATCAAACAATTATTTATTTATTTATTTATTTTTTTTTTTTTTTTTTATTTTTTATTTTTTTTTTTTTTTTTTTTTTTATATTTACAATCTCTTATCATTCATCGCTTGCTCTACGTGTATCAATATTAAATCTTGTGTGTTTTTATTCAATAGTTAGTTCTACGCATATAAACATTTATGTGCTATATATGTGCAATATGTGTTTATGGTATACAAACCCATGACCAATTACAACAAAATTTTACAACTACCCGTTCGTCGTATATTTGCATAAATGTATTAATTGTTAGTAAACCACATCAAAACATCATTTCATTGAAAAATGTTTCTGTTACATCCATCCAGCAACATAGATACTAAGGATCGTGATGTTATAAAATACCCTCACACACGTTTATAGTTATTCACAATTATGTGCCAACATGTCTGTCTGATGTTATGTGTAATGGTGCAAATAATTGCTTCATCATTGATTTACAAAACACTCTATCGCAACAAGTCCTCTCCACAAACTTTAAACATCATTCACTTTTACTGCAACTTTGATGGAATCTCATATATACAAATATATTAGAACTTACGACAAACTATACCAATAAATTGATGTTCGAAATATATATACAGGGTATGCCGAATTTACATACGCTACACATATATATATTTTGATTATTATTTGAATCTCTTTGAAATATTCATTTGACATATAGATGTATGCATACCTCTGCATCTCAATTCCTATTTACACTTATTTTTCCGAATTAAACTAAAGGGGAATGCATTACAGACTCAAAGAAAAAACGATGATAGAGAAGCGATATTTAATAAGAAAGTTTTTTACAGTAATTTTGAGCTGTTATATATAACATTATACCGCTTCACTTACTGCTAATATTGATTATAAATATTGATATACAACACCGTTATAAGTAAACATAACCTAAAAATTGACGAATTATTTGCTTTCAAATGTTTAAGAAAACTTGAAATAGTAAACAAGCCATATTTTCATTAATGTCTTACACAATTCATGGATTAGACGACGGAATCAATAAATAGTAAAATCTGAGTAATGGAAAAATGAAAACTTTTGGTCTCTTCAATAAATATGAAATTTCATTCATAGTTACTATGAATGATTGAATAATCATCTCAGACAGAAATAGGACACATTTTGTTTATTTATTCGATTATTAGTTCATTCAATCACGGTCTGAAAAAGTAAAATTCTAGTGACTATATAAATATAATTAACATTTAAAACATATGACAAAACTATCTGAATAAGCAAAATATTTTATATATTGAAACCTAAAAAGGGAATATATATATATATATATATATATATATATATGTATACAAGAAAAAATACGTGTATATATATATTTTAACACTCATATCCATATATTCATATACACTTGTATGGATGGATGCCTATATCCGATATCCCCCATAAATAAATTTTATATACGTGTACGGATCACTTCAAATCACTATACATTTTCTTTTGACACCCTGTGAGTATATATATGAGTATATATATATATATATATATATATATGCATACATATATATGTACATTGGTTGTACTTAAACACGGACATATATGCTGGCAAAACCGGCTTCCATATACTGCCTCTATATATATGCAAAACACAAATTTTCAATTAAATAAATATCTGCTGTTGTGTTGCACGTATCGCATCGAATAAAACACATTAACAACTCAATATAATGTTTACACTGTCGAAATAAAGAATATCGTACATAATTATTTGTAAATCTATTTATTATAGAAGAACGCAGCTACAGATTTATTTCAATAACTGGTTAGAAAATACTACAAAAAAAAAAAATAAATAAAAGAATAAAAAGAAAAATGAAAGCAAAAAATTAAATTGACCTAAACTGAAACTTTTCACACCCATTAATACCTAATAAATACATTTTCTCTTTAGTAATTATTTCAAACAAACCTCAAAGGCTAACATAACTGACTATTGAATATTAAATTTAACGAAATGTAAATAATAATAAAGTTTTAATAGTTCACCCAACCCACTCTCACCATACTGTCTTAGTTAAAAATTTCAATCCTTTATTGTATCATATTTTCAACGTAAAGATATAAGAAGATCACGCTACTAACTGACATATTCCTGCCATTTGTACGATAGCGATCGAATTCGGGAAAGCAGATGCAAAAAATACATGAAAAAATCCATTTGTCCAAGCTAAACTTTACTTTATAAAGGATCCGATTCATAGGGGTATGTATGTATATGTATATTTATACAAACTAACAGCTAAAAACAAAATATATTTAAAAAAGAACTTACACGGTCGTGTTGAGATATTTCGATGAAATTTACCCCAAGGATGAAAGCTATAGAAAATGTTACGGATCGGCTAAATTTTTGGATCGATTGGTTTTTTTCTAGTTTCATAATAAAAATTGTTGTCGCATAGACGTCCTTTGAAAAGTTTCGATCACTTCCAAATTCTTTTGCAAACCTTGTAGGCAATATCTCCATTCTTGCGAACGGGAGAGTATTTATCACAGATATTACACAATTGCACAGACAGACAGATGGACAGACGAACAAACGGATATGTTTTGGATGCATTCGAAATTTGAAACTGGCCTAGAATTTCTATAATTTATGTGCAGTTTGTGGAGGCTGCTTCTGCACCTTATAAAGATAGTGAAGAAGAAATTAAATTTTTATACGCTGTCGACTACTGATAATATTGGGTAGACGTGATCAATTTTTTCGCTTCTTTACAGGTACAGGTATTAGGTGTTCGAATTTTTGTACATTCATCTGCTATAGTTTATGAGTAACGAGCAAAAAATCAATTTCCCATTACAGAAGTGTTTTCAGTTTATGCGACGGTGTGGGCGTGTAATTGGATCCATTTCGTCCATTTTCAATACCAACTTACGTGCAAGAATTTCTAATATTTCTGCCAATTTTGAAGGCGATAGCATCATTTTTGCGGCGAGGAGTATGTTTACAGCAGATATTAGACGGACAGACGGACATGCTTAAATCGATATACAATTCGTAGGGTCTCTGATTGGGCCTTCTGGGCGTTGCAAACGTTTTAACAAAATGAATATACTGCTCATCCTTCGATGAAAAGTGTAAAGAGAACAGACAATGCTTTTTTTCTTTCCTTTGTGAAATTTACAATACCATCATCAACACTACTCTTGCATTAACCCTCAATTAACTCTACCTCTATATCCAACAAATGTTGAGAAAACCAAGATCCAAACATTTTCGAGAATTTGCCTTGGTCATACAATTGCAACTCACCAATGGATCCTGAAGAAGTCTTCTCCCCCAATCTGCTGTTGTGGACAAACTCTTACTATAAAGCACATTCTCTGCGACTGCCTCAACTTTTCCTTGGCTAGAAGTATTGCATTTGGAACGATTAACCCTTTGAACATTCTACAATCAACTTCAGAACAGAATATCAATTCAATATTTTACTTTATTAATACTACTAAGCTTATTATCTAATATCCATTTATTTAAATTAGAGCCGACAGCCTGTGTTGCTAGTGCTCAATGTCTCTTTTTTTAGTCTAAGAATTCAATTCATTAGTCTAAAATTAAAATAATAATAATTTTCTTTCCCTTGAAGAAATTTTTATATAAAAAAAAATGAAAATTTTCAAAATTTCTCGGCAAAAATCAACAAGTAACAACAACAAAATTTGAATCGAATGGCATAACTTCCCTTATGACAGTTTCTCGAGAATTGTGCTTTTATATAGGAAAAATGTTTAATCTTTAATGCTTATATATATATATCTCGTAGTGCTATATTTTAGACCCCGAAACATGCATATATATACATATAGATATATATATATATATAGATAAATTCTGATGAAAGTCAACTTTTATATGGCTTATCGCCATTTTAGTTTGTAATTTTTTATTAGGAGAACACGTGAAGAATAATGAAATCCACCAAATTTGACTTTGCTTTTATACGAAAACCAGACATAATTTTTGAGTGTATTACGGATGAAAATAAATAAATAACTAAATATAGGTGAAGTGATATAGGACATTGTAATGGTGCCCTTAGAGCGAATATCATGTCTTTAGTGGCTATTATAGAATCATTTTTCAAGTCCATAAAAATACCTTTCAGTTTTCGCAATAATCATACCATTTCATCCAAGTCCTTCTCCCTCGAGCACTCTTTTGAGTTATGCAAGCAGGTAATAGTCGGTTGGGTTCTAATCTGAAGAACATGCTCGACGTAGCAACAACTCTAACCTTAATTCAGGCATATTTGCCTTTGTAGCTATCGTTTTGTGACACAATTATTTATTTTTTCATGTCATCGACAATAGTTTTTAGAATTTTCTTATTTTTTTCTATTTTCCGATGTAATCACCTCTTTTTGACGTCCGACGCGTTCACCACACCATCGGTGTCCGTACGAAGACATTTAAAGTCAACGAACCACTGATAAGTGTCGTTATCATTTCTCATATCATTTTCCAAATGATAATAGTAACAATAATCTTAGTACACGTCTTGCTGGCCGCCACAAATCTATTTGACTTTATTTAATATTAAAAAGGAAATAGAAGCACATGATTGCAACGAAACGGACGCATGTCTTAAAATTTAATGAGTTTTTCTTCTCTTCATGAGCACAAAAACAATTACATTTTTGTCGACTACTTACCATAGTTTTAAAAAATGGTACTTAAGATGTTAATTGCGATTTTAAGTTTTTTTTTTTTTTTTTTTTTTTTTTTTTTTTTTTTCTTTATACCTCCGCTTTTTATACATCACTGTTAAAAGCAATTACAATAAATTGGTCAAGCCACAAGTGACCTTTCGGTTTTCGCAATGTTCTCACCATA